GCCCGGCTGCTCTTGGCCCAAAACCCCGGGATTTCACCCCAGAAGGGGAAGGAGCCACGAATCCCGCTGGAAACGCCTGGGATGTTTGGAGTGCTCCCTTCCATGAGTTCTCTTTGCTATTTTTACTTACACACTGTTTATTTTTGCCTTGAAATCCGACTGATAGGACAAGATAAAATTGATAACAGAAGGTTTATTCAAGAATTGTTCAACAGACAACCCTTAAGCAAGGAAATAAAATAACTACTATAAGAACAAAGAAAGATCTCCAAAGAGGAGGGGTGAGGTGGGAGGGATTAGCTATAGTTCTTCTAATTCAGGACTATACAATTACAGTCTGGTTCTGCTCTCATGCCTCCAGTAGAACTAATTACATTATTCATAAGTACGAAGGTAACATAAAACTACTGGTCTTTCTAAATTACAATAACTAAAATAAGCTTGTTGTACAATGACAAGGAAACACAATGTCCTTTATAACAAGTAAATACTAAAAAAGTACAATTTGATTCTTTTTTCCTCATATAAATACATAATATTGGGGATAAATAATACAAAAAAGGAAAATATTTTAAACTGGCTATAACCAATAAATATATATGAATGTTCACCAGAACACACACCTATTGAAGGACGTCTCGACTGAGTTGGACGAATGCCCTTCAAAGTTGTTTTTATACCCATTATATGTAAACTCTAAGTGCAACAAAGATGTCCAGACAAGAAAGCATTAGCAAATACTAGAGATCCATTCACTTCTGCTTCGATTGGAGGACATTCCGTTTGTTCAAATATACCCTGTTTTCACGTAAGGTCAAGAGAAGAGGAGAAAAGAAGCGTAGGACTTCTAAGTCTTAAGATTGCTTTTCTGTTAATGAACCCTAAGAAAGATACCCCTAAAACAAAAAACCCCGCTGCCGTTGAATGGAGACATCATGTTGGCAGAGGCAAAGGTGGGAAAATATTCAGACCTGTCAACTCTTTCTTCCTCTCTTTGGACTGCTGTTATTGTTGGTGAGGGGGTTTAGGCATTTCACAGACTTGTTTCCCGAGCCTTCTGCAATCCTTAGACCGCACTTTTTCTAATTTGTTTCCAATGTTATTATTTTTGAGA